CGCCACACGCTGGCGCGTGCAGCCGCCGGGCGGCAAGTCGGCTGCACCTGAGCAGGGCCTCCTGCACACGGCGCCGCCGGCCCCTCCAGGGAGGCCGCGGTTCGCCTCGGACATCGCCAAACAGGCACCCGCTGGGCTCCACCGAATGGATCCGCGTCCCCGCCCAGCGGGCCGGGCAACGAAGGCGCAAAAAAATGGCAACGTGGACGCGCAGCGGCGCACAAACCCGCGGCGCGGCATTCCGCGATGGCGGGCCCAAAGCCACCGCGGGCACCCCGCGGAGGCGCACGGCGCACTCGCAGCAGTCGGCGCGCCGCGGCATCCATCGCGAGGGATGCCGTCGGGTCCCGCAACGCGGCCCACGGCCGGGGTCGGGTTGTAATAGGGTTGGGGAATGAAAAGTTTTTGTATGGATTAAGGGTTTGGCTGGTTCATAACGATTTTTGGTGGTCCAACTGGTGGTTGCTTAGCGGGCGGTGGTTTGGCTGTTGCCCGTTGCGTCGTTGGGCGGAGGGGACGGGTAACCCCAGCGGCCAATGGGTGCGAGTGTTTGCGTTTGTTTAGTTCGTTTTGACGGAGGCCGTTGGAGATATATATTTTTTGATATTTGCGTTGGTATTTAACTTTGGTGGCCGCGGTGGTTCTGGAGGGGCTTTTTTTGAATGTGAAGGAAGGGGCGCGTTGTGGCCATCCTGCCCCCCTCTGTTTTGTGTGTGTATGTGTGTGCGTGTGGGGGTTTTGGTCCCTCAAGCGGTGTCAGAGTTGTCTGTGTGAAGAGGGTATGCTGTTTTTGTGAAAGAACCTTGTTTTCTTGTGGTCCTTTCGGTCTGCATTTATTTTTGTTGTGAAGTTTCAAATTTTATGTTCGCGTTAACATAGACGTTTTTTCTCTTTTTTTCATTTACTGTGGCTTCTGTCGAAATGTGTGTTTTTACCTTGTGCCATCCTTGCGTGATTGTTCCCACTTTCTGACTTTTCTACGTAAGCATGATATCGTTTGTGGTGGCGTGCGATGTTTACGTTGCTCCTAAATGTGTTATTCTACTGCATACTGAGCCGTACTGTTATTCCGTTTACTTTCTTTAACTATTACTATTTGGTGATTTGCTAGGGCGTTCTTTACTTCCCGTATTGAACGGAGTTGTTTATCTTATAGGGATGGGGCGAGGTTTTGGGCGTGGGGCGAGGATCGCGATTGTGACTCACGCTCAAGTGAAAACTGCAGGCAAAAAAACCCCACGAGGTCTTCGTGGATCGCGGCAAAAGAAGCGTAGACGCTTTCAACAGAAGCACGACGAACAAAGGAAGTTAGAAGAATCTCTCGGAATGAAGCCCACGACCACCCCCAAGAGCGAGAAGCCTTTGTCCCAACAAGTGGCAAGTATCCAGTTCCCGCATGTTGTGAATAAACGACAGAAGGGTTTCAAGCAGCTGAGGCGACAGATTGTGGATAGGGTAAGGGATCTAAGGAGGCGACACGCTGAGAAAAAAAAGAAACAAGTGAGGAAGAGCAGCAAGATGTCTGAAAATTAGATCGGGTAAAACCTTTGAACATAATTTTAAGTGTTTTTTTTCGCCATATTTACAATTGAGAAGTTTTGCGTGATTGCGGCCAGCTGATTGCAGAAAAAAAAATAGCATGCCGAATTGCATTTTCNCACGTTTTTTCTTTTCTGCGTTGACAGATAAAGTGTAGGAAATAATATTAACCC